AAAAATAAAAATAAAAAAATAAACTGAATATCAAAAGAATATTTAATGGGGGTGCCTGGGTGGCTCAGTCAGTAAAGCATCTGACTCTTGATTTTGGCTCAGGTCATGATCTCGGGTTGTGAAATTGAGCCCCAGGTCAGGCTCTGTGCTAGGCACTGAGCCTATTTCAGATTCTCTCTCTCCCTCTCCCCCTCCCCTGCTTTTCCTCCGTCCCTCTTTAAAAAAATAAATTAAGATAAAAAGAATCAAAGAATATTTAAGAAATGTCTGTGTTCTTGGACTGAAGGGAGATCTTCTTACTCAAGCTAGAAAATCCACTAGGAAAAAGATAGATATACTTGACTACACAGTAATTGCTGTTATGACCAAAAAAAAAAAAAAAAAAAACTTTTGAGAGGCACCTGGCTGGCTCAGTGGGAAGAGCATGGAACTCTTAATCCTGGGGTCCTGAGTTTGAGCCCTACCTTGGGTGTAGAGTTTACTTTAAAAAAATAATAATACAGGGCGCTTGGGTGGCTCAGTCAGTTAGGTGTCCATTTCTTGATTTCAGCTCAGGTCATCATCTCAGGGTTGTGAGATCGAGTCCTGCATCAGTCTGGGCGTGGAGCCTGCTTAAGAGTCTCTCTCCCGGGGTGCCTGGGTGGCTCAGTCAGTTAAGCGTCACCAGCACCATAGGTTACTGTTTCTAATTTTTGCCAATCTGATAGGTTAAAAACATGGTACCTTACTGTTATTTCCCAAAGGTTGAAAATATTTTTAGATGTTTATTAGAAATGTAGACTTCCTGGGCGCCTGGGTGGCTCAGTTGGTTAAGCGGCTGCCTTCGGCTCAGGTCATGATCCAGGAGTCCCGGGATCGAGTCCCACATCAGGCTCCCTGCTCGGCAGGGAGTCTGCTTCTCCCTCTCCTACCCCCTCTTGCGCGCTCTCTCTCACATAAATAAATAAAATCTTTAAAAAAAAAAAAAAAAGAAAGAAATGTAGACTTCCTCTTTTGTAAACTGCTGGTTTATATTTTTTGCCCTCCCCTATCTACTGAAGTGTCTTTTTCTTACTAATTTTTAAGGACTTTTTAAGGAATAGGGATTTAAATCTGTAGTCATATGTGGAAAAATATCATTTTCCCACCATCTTTGATTGTGACCTGATTCAAATACTTTGATTCTTTGCTTAGAATGAACATATTATTTGAAAAGAATTTAATAAGGGAAATATAAACAGGAGCATTCCTCAAGGTTATCAAGAAGATTCATTGAGCTCTACTAGGTTAAGCTCTTGGCATGGTGCTTCGTATATAGAAAGTGCTCAGTACGGGGCGCCTGGGTGGCTCAGTCGTTAAGCGTCTGCCTTCGGCTCAGGTCATGGTTCCAGGGTCCTGGGATCGAGCCCCACAACGGGCTCCCTGCTCAGCAGGAAGCCTGCTTCTCCCTCTCCCACTCCCCCTGCTTGTGTTCCCTCTCTCACTGTGTCTCTCTCTATCAAATAAAATAAAATATTAAAAAATAAAATAAAGTGCTCAGTAACCATTAACTACTGTTTGTTGTTCTCTTTTTACCCCAGCAATCTGGGATACTCCTGCCTGTCTTCCCAGATGCACTGCACATCTACTGAGCAGAGGAAAAGACCTCTGTTCAGTGACTTCTCAAAATGAGGTGGGGGAATTCTCAGAGCGGAGGGTTCTTAAGTAGGACCCTGTATGTATTTCAGAGTTCCCTTGGGATTGTATGCACAATTGTATGTGTGCATATAGATTTCAGGGCAGAAAGGCTGTGGCTTTCATCAGATTATAAAGAGATCTGTGATTCCAAAAAAGGCTCTGCCCTTCTCTGGAGTGATGCTGTGACTCTTGTCTCGACAGCATTGACTTGGGCAAGGCAAATGAACCCAACCACGTGGAGCTGGGGCGCAAGGATGATGCCAAGGTTCACAAGATGTTTCTGGACCACACTGGTAAGTGGGGGGCTTGGGGGGGAGGTCTGGGGTTAGAGGGGTAGTTGAGCAGAGCATAAGTCACTGCCCGGGCGGGTGGGATCTGCGAGTGGTGGGGCCAGGGAGGAGGCTGAGGGTGGGAATGGCAGCATTCTGTAGGGTGCCTTGCTCTCCCCCACTGCAGGCTCTCACCTGCTGATTGCTCTGAGCAGCACTGAGGTCCTCTATGTGAACCGTAATGGACAGAAGGTCCGGCCACTGGCACGCTGGAAGGGGCAGCTGGTGGAGAGTGTGGGCTGGAACAAGGCACTGGGCACCGAGAGCAGCACTGGCCCCATCCTGGTCGGCACCGCCCAAGGCCAGATCTTCGAAGCAGAGCTCTCAGCCAGCGAGGGTGGGCTTTTTGGCCCCGCCCCAGATCTCTACTTCCGCCCATTGTATGTACTAAACGAAGAAGGGGGTCCAGCACCTGTGTGCTCCCTCGAGGCCGAGCGGGGCCCTGACGGGCGTGGCTTTGTTATCGCCACCACCCGGCAGCGCCTCTTCCAGTTCATAGGTCGAGCAGCAGAGGGGGCTGAGGCCCAGGGCTTCGCGGGGCTCTTCGCTGCCTACACCGACCACCCACCCCCATTCCGTGAGTTCCCCAGCAGTCTGGGCTACAGTGAGTTGGCCTTCTATACCCCCAAGTTGCGCTCCGCACCTCGGGCCTTCGCCTGGATGATGGGGGATGGCGTGTTGTACGGAGCATTGGACTGCGGGCGTCCTGATTCCCTGCTGAGCGAGGAGCGAGTCTGGGAGTACCCAGAGGGGGTAGGTCCGGGGGCCAGCCCACCCCTGGCTCTCGTCCTGACCCAGTTCCACTTCCTGCTGCTGCTGGCGGACCGGGTGGAGGCAGTGTGCACGCTGACGGGGCAGGTGGTGCTGCGGGATCACTTCCTGGAGAAGTTTGGGCCCCTGAAGCACATGGTGAAGGACTCTTCCACGGGCCACCTGTGGGCCTACACTGAGCGTGCCGTCTTCCGCTACCACGTGCAGCGGGAAGCCCGGGATGTCTGGCGCACCTACCTGGACATGAACCGCTTCGACCTGGCCAAAGAGTATTGTCGAGAGCGGCCTGACTGCCTGGACACAGTCCTGGCCCGGGAGGCCGATTTCTGCTTTCGCCAGCGTCGTTACCTGGAGAGCGCCCGCTGCTACGCCCTGACCCAGAGCTACTTTGAGGAGATTGCCCTCAAGTTCTTGGAGGCCCGACAGGAGGAGGCTCTGGCTGAGTTCTTACAGCGAAAACTGGCCGGTTTGAAGCCAGCCGAGCGCACCCAGGCCACACTGCTTACCACCTGGCTGACGGAGCTTTACCTGAGCCGGCTCGGAGCGCTGCAGGGCGATCCCGAGGCCCTGAACTTGTACCGGGAAACCCGGGAGCGCTTCCGGTCCTTCCTCAGCAGCCCCCGCCACAAGGAGTGGCTCTTTGCCAGCCAGGCCTCCATCCACGAACTGCTCGCCAGCCACGGGGACACAGAACACATGGTGTACTTCGCCGTGATCATGCAGGACTATGAGCGCGTGGTGGCATACCACTGCCAGCATGAGGCCTACGAAGAGGCCCTGGCGGTGCTTGCTCGCCACCGCGACCCCCAGCTCTTCTACAAGTTCTCGCCCGTCCTCATTCGTCACATCCCCCGCCAGCTGGTGGATGCTTGGATTGAGCTGGGCAGCCGGCTGGATGCCCGGCAGCTCATCCCTGCCCTGGTGAACTATAGCCAGGGTGGCGAAGCCCAGCAGGTGAGCCAGGCCATCCGCTACATGGAGTTCTGCGTGAATGTGCTCGGCGAGACGGAGCAGGCGATTCACAATTACCTGCTGTCGCTATATGCCCGGGGCCAGCCGGCCTCGCTGCTGGCCTACCTTGAGCAGGCCGGTGCCAGCCCGCACCGCGTGCATTACGACCTCAAGTATGCGCTGCGTCTCTGTGCTGAGCACGGCCACCACCGTGCCTGTGTCCACGTCTATAAGGTCCTAGAGCTGTACGAGGAGGCTGTGGACCTGGCCCTGCAGGTGAGCCGATGAGTTTGACCCGATCCAGGACAGAGGCCTGGAGAGCAGTCGTGTCAGAGGCTGAGGGTTTGGAGGGGGGGGGCTGTGGCTAGAGGGCGCCGGCTTCTCCGGCGGGGAGGTGCTGCAGTGCAGAGGTTAAGAACGTGGACTCCGATGTCAGGGTTTGAAATCCAGTTCTGCCGCTTACTAAGCTGGGTGACCTCAGGCTGATTTCTGACCCTCTCTTTGCCTCAGATCATTCGGCCACAAATGGGATAGTGTTCTAGTTACTTCCCTCCTAGGGTTGATGAGAGTAGTGTATGCGCAAAGCCCTCAGAGCGGCACCTGCTCTGCGGGTAAGTTCTACGTCCGTGCTAGCGACTGTGTTCTAGTCGCAACTGCTGAGTTACGTTACAATGTGAAGTCCTGGGTTTGAAGCCAGGACTTACTGAATCAGAAAGTCTGAGGGTAGGGCCCCAAAATCTGTATTTTGAATACGCTCCCCAGGTGATTTTTAAATTTGCCAAAATCAAAGCCCCCTCACCGTGAGTAGCTTTTACAAAGCGGTGATGGGGACAGGCCCGTCACTGAGACAGGTTCCTATCCTGGCCCCCAGAAGCCCCACCTCGCTTGCTGCCAGGGGATCCTGCCTTGGGGCTTCTCCTGGGGCCCAGGTTTTCCCTGGGCATCTGTGTCTCCCCCAATCTCTATCCTCGCCCCTACTGCTCGCGGTCTCCCCACAGGTGGACGTGGACCTGGCCAAACAGTGTGCTGACTTGCCCGAGGACGACGAGGAACTGCGTAAGAAACTGTGGCTGAAGATTGCTCGGCACGTGGTGCAGGAGGAGGAGGACGTGCAGACGGCCATGGCCTGCCTGGCCAGCTGCCCCCTGCTGAAGATCGAGGATGTGCTGCCCTTCTTTCCTGACTTCGTCACCATCGACCACTTCAAGGAGGCGATCTGCAGCTCGCTCAAGGCCTACAACCACCACATCCAGGAGCTGCAGCGGGAGATGGAAGAGGCCACGGCCAGCGCCCAGCGCATCCGGCGAGACCTGCAGGAGCTGCGGGGCCGCTACGGCACGGTGGAGCCACAGGACAAGTGTGCCACCTGTGACTTCCCCCTGCTCAACCGCCCTTTTTACCTCTTCCTCTGTGGCCACATGTTCCATGCTGACTGCTTGCTGCAGGCCGTGCGGCCTGGCCTGCCGGCCTATAAGCAGGCCCGGCTCGAGGAGCTGCAGCGGAAGTTGGGGGCTGCTCCGGCCCCTACTAAGGGCTCTGCCCGCGCCAAGGAGGCCGAGGGTGGGGCTGCCACGGCGGGGCCCAGTCGGGAACAGCTCAAGGCTGATCTCGATGAACTGGTGGCCGCCGAGTGCGTGTACTGTGGGGAGCTGATGATCCGCTCCATTGACCGGCCCTTCATTGACCCCCAGCGCTATGAGGAGGAGCACCTCAGTTGGCTGTAGGAAGAAGGGTGTTGGCCTGCTGGGTGGGTAGGCAGTCAGGGCAGTTGCCCCTTCTTGGGAAGGCCACACTATGGTCTCTGGTCCGGCGTCTGGAGGCCGCTGGGCCGTGACAGTGTTGGGGAGAGTGGAATTATAGCTGTCGCCTGTAAGGTGTCATCTGTGAGTGTATTCTGCCACTGGCCGCGCTGTTCTTGAGAGACGCCTTGGAGCTGCTCTTCCGCCAGGCCATCTGCGTGCCTCCCAATAGAGGGCCTTAGCCTGGAGAAGTCAGAATTCTCACCTCATCACCGTCCCCCTCCATCTAACAGTCCTCTTTACGCCCCACAGACATCCTGTTCACCTTCTAGAGTGAGAGTACCATTCTTCCTTTTCACTCTGTGGCCCTTCTCCCTCAGGGGAAGGCCTCTCCCCATGTCTGCCCCTAGATCCCAGAGCAAAAAGGCAGCCCCTCCAAGTCGTGGGCACGGAGGGTGGGAAAGGTGGTGCCGGTAGGGGGCACCTCTTGTGTCCACCTTTTGGGGCTCTGGTGTGGGGGTGCCCTGGGACAGAGGGCCTCATGGAGGACAGGGGGAGATGGTGATGGGGGCAGGGCTCATTAAACCGCGTGCACTGCACTGGGGGCTCTCGAGTGGATGGCTTTGTGTTGATGCCGGCCTGAGGGGCGTGTGAGTCATCTCCAGGGGAGCTACAGTCCCACAGGGAGGCTGCCAGGACCCTGAATGCTTTCCAGCCTTGGCCCTCGCTCCTTCTTCTGGAGATGTGACCAATTGATTGTGCCGTTTTTGTGATTTGCTTGCTTCCCTGTCCCTCGACTCCATCCTCTGTGGCTCCAGGCTTCAGCTGGGAATGATGGCCCACCATCCTCTCAGACCAAGGACTGTTCTTCCCTCCGGCCAGCAGGTGGTGCTGCACCCCACAGAATCCTTCACACTCCGGCAACTGGGGGGCATTGAGTTCTTGTCATTTTCTCCACTAGTGCTTCCTCGGTCTGCTCCTCCCTAGTATGTTCTGGGAGTCTGCACTGCCTAACCGTGAATCTAAGCCCCCATCCTCCCTCCACTAGCCCTTATGCATTCTAGATTTTGCTTGCCCTTCCCTTGCCAGCCTGGATCCTTGTGTTCCCAGCTTCTGCCAGCTTTGAGACTGCCACCCACCATCCATGGCATATGGCAGATACATTTTTCCCCCTCTAACTCCTGTGACCTGCCCCTCCCCCTCCAGATTGCACCTTTTTAGCTGTGGCTACTCTAGAGAGTCCCAGATGGGGGCCTTCCTGTGACATCAGGGAGCAGCACCCTTTGCTCGGGGAACTGGGGTTCACAGTCCACTGCCGGCTCTATGGGTGTGGTCTATCAGCTGCCCAGACTGACACAAAGTAACAAGTGTGTATTCCTGGAATCGGGCCAGGGTGAACCGCCCCCCCCGGCTGGTGACTGCAGACTTTTCTCTCCCCTGCAGAGTAGCCCTTTTCCAAGACTTTTGCGGTCCTGGTGGAGCCTTGCCCCGCCGAGTTCCTCCAGTCACTAGAACAAGTGTCTCCTCATGGCCACTGCCAATGGTCAGGTCAGAAACTGCCCATCTTTGATGAGCCTCAGACTTCCCGTCTTCCACCAGAAGCAAGAGGGAGCAAATGTGGAAGGGTTGGTAATCACTGGGTGGGGAGAGAACATCCTATTCCTGTTCCTTCTGTTCCAAGAAGATTTGGAGGGCTCTTGTTCCCCTTTCTCTTTACATGTGGCCTAAGGCTCCCCTCATACCTAGACGTGCCTGGTAGAGGGCTAAGGGGTACCGTTCCCCACTGTCAGCATCAGTCTAAACTTTGACCTGCCACTTGCGTGGTCACTTGCTTAGAACAGCTTGGGTTGTCTATCTCTGCACATAATGGGTACCTAATACATGTTAGTTAAACAAACACTGCCCTATTGCTCCCTCCTCCCAGAGGACTTGGCTAAGACAGCCCGGGATGCCCCTGCCCCCTTCTATCCTCTCCTGAGCCTGCCCATCTGGTCCTAGGCAGCTTCCTCTTTCCTGGAAAAAAGGCCCCAGGCTTCCTTGGCACTGACAGAATGGGGTTCCGTTGAGTCAGGGCAACGGGAAGCCATGGCTCCTAGATCCCTGGTAACCAAGCGAGGCCTGGAATGGAGGGGAGAGAGAAGGCCCTCAGGGCCCTGGCCCTAAGCCTGGGGAGGGCCAGAAGGGGGTGTGGTGGGGAGCAGCTGTGTGGGCAGAGACCAAGATGAATGAGCTGCTCCTGGAGCTGTCACTGGAAATAGGAGGAGTGGCCACAGGCAGTGACGCTGAGAACAGGGCAGGAGGCCTGTAAACAAGGAAGCCACCTGGGGGAGACTCAGGGCGGTCACTGGTCCTGGGGAGCAGGTGCTTCCTGAGGCGCGCCCTTGAGAGGGCTCTGGGGGGCTGCCTGGCCAAGTCGTCAGCTGGCACGAGGGGGCGCTGTCGACTGGCTTCCCGAAACCACTGGCTCCCTTCCACAGCTCCACGGGGAGTGGCCATCGGAGGGTGTGACGGCCCAGCGACTTGAGGCCTGGCTTTCCCGCTGGGCGGCCCTCCCTCCTCCTGTCCCTAAGGCAGACGGGCCAAGGGCACCAGCCCTGGCAGGGAGGGCACGGGGCTCCTGGCCGGCAAGGGTGTGAGCTCGTTCCCCCAGGGACCACCAGTTCTCCCATTCCCCCCTTCCCCCACCCCAGGGCTCGGGTTGCAGGCTGGGCCCTCATCAACCCCATTTGGTTGGGAGGGGGCTCCGAGGCCACCAGGCTCCAGGCTGCCCTTGGCGCTGCACCCCCCGCCCCCCCCGCCCCGGCGCCAGGGAAACAAAAGGTTAGGGGGCCCAGAGGGAGTTATCTGGCCCCACCACCACCAAGGGAGGGGGAGGGGACCAAGAGGGGCATACCTCCTCCCCACTCCCCCAGCTCTGCAGATTCTTCGAGACACTTTCACAGGCGGAAATTCCCAGAGGTCAGAGGAGGGAAATGGTTAATTCCTTTTATTCAATGGGTCCCCCCTACACGCCTCCCCCCAGCTTCCTCCCTCCACTTCCCGCCCCCCCCATGTGAACAGGAAGTGGAGAGGAAAAGGCTCGGAGCAGAGCAGCTGGGAGCAGGAGGCAGGGAGTGGGCGGCAGGCTTGGTGCCAGCCCTGCCCCTCATGGTTGCTTGCTGGAGGGCCAGACCCACTGTGGCCTGGGAAAGAACCTGCAGCCCGGCCGGCTGAGTGGCTCAGGGCCAGGTGACAGCCTCTCATTGGAGCCCCCTTCTCTCAACCTGCCTCTAGGTCCAAGGCTGCTGCCAGGAGGGCGTGAGGCGTCCTCTGTCCGAGCCCCAGCTGCCCTGGCCACTGCAGCCCCACCCCCACGGCAGGCTGGGCATCCCTCTTCAGGCAGCCGCCGCTCCTGGCACTGGCTCCAGCCACTCAGCCCCTTGGCCCTGCCAGTTCTTTGAAGCTCATGCAGTGCTTCCTGTTTGGGGCAGGCGATGCCAGAGCCCCTCCCCCACCATTGTTCTGTGGAGACCATAGGTCCATCTGTTGCCCCATGGTGGGGCCCCTAGGCAGTGCCACACGGGAGCAGCACCACAAAGGACCCTGCTGGCAGCTTTGATTATGTGGAGTGAGGCAGGGCCCCAAAGCAGGTTGAGGGGGAATGGTGGTCAGAGGCAGGCCTGGCGTGGGCAGTGGGACAGAGGGAGGATGCTAGGTAGTTCTAGTGACTGGGCAGCCAGAGCCCCCAGCTTTCTCCTCCATCTGGAGCGTGGCGATGATGCTTTTCAGGGCGCTATACCTGCTGAAGGCACCAGGAGAGGGACACCGTTCTCATGTCCAGTTTCCAAGAGGGAAAACTGAGGCAGAGGGGCAAACTTGGGTCTAGGACGGCTGCTAAAAGGGACACGAAGTAGGGTTCTTCTCTCAAGGGGATTAGCCCTTCTCACTGAATGCCCTCTGACTGGGTGCTTTCCTCTCCCTGAGCTGCTTTGCTCTTTCTCAGCTTTCGCCTTGAAGTAGCTCTTGAGCTAAGAAGTCAGAAACCATGGGGTCACTGGAAGGTTAGGGTGGCCCTACGTTGGTGACCAGCAACCAGTGTCCACTGAGAACAAGCCCAGGCAGGCCCAGCAGGAAAAGAGAAAGGGGCATTGGTCTGGCCCCAGGAAAATGGGTGCTGCTCTTGGTTCCCAGTCTGCCGTAGCCAAAAGTCTGTTTGTGTTTCCCAGGTGTGGGGGGCAGGTGCTGTGTATCTGCAGCTCACCTCCTCTGCCTCATCTCACAGCTCTGCCCCCAACCTGCTTCCTCCCTCAGGGCTAGAAGCCCAAATGTGGTCTACCCCAATTCCCTTACCAGATCCTCTGGCTTCTCACCAGCCCAGGACCTGAATTACCTAGACCATGCCTCCCGAAGGTCAGCACTGCAGAGATCTCAGCTGCTCTTGTTCAAAGAAAAAAGCCGTCATGGATGTTCAGCACCTGAAATGGGTATGCTGTGCCTCCCTGGTGGAAGCGGGGCTGGGAGGCCCACACCCCTATTTACTGTGCTTTCCTCCCCCACCCCAATCTCTGTGGGATGCCAGCATGCTGAGGAACCCAGCTGGAAAACCGTTGCTGCCAATCCCACCTCCTGATCTTACAGATGCTGAATCTCAGAGGAGAAATTGGTGGCTGACACGCACGAGGCTCCAGCCAGCATCCTGTCCCTTCTCCATGAGATTCACCATCGGTCAACAGTGACCCCGGTGCCCATCGGGAGCCAAACACCGTCCTAGGCTTCACTGTGCTCGCTCTCCCTCTCCAGCTAAAGTGCACTGAGCTGAGGGACAGGGAGGTGATCTGGAAAGAAAAAGTGTAAGTCTCCGCTCTGCCATTTATCAGCTGTCAGTTTAATCATCCCCTCAGAACTTCAGTTTCTTCACTCTAAAATGCGAATAAACATAACCGAACTTGGAGGCTCAAGTGTAGATTAGACAAGAACAGTGCGGCACTTCTGCAAGGTTAGCCCAGCGCCGGGCCCCTGAGCGATTCCTGTTGGCTTGTTTCTCTTCCGTGTCATTCTGTGCCTCATTCCTCTGGGGCTGGGACCCTGTAAGCCCTATCGTGGCTCTTCCCGCACAAACCCTCTGATTTCCTCTTTGAGAATCAGAGTGGAATTGGAAGAGGCTTGCTTGAGAACGCTTTTCTGGTTTCTCAAAAGATGGTGATTCTGGGGGAGAGGTCCAGGATGAGGGTGAGAGGAATCCCTCAGGCATATAGACTATGGCCCCTGAGGTGGGACAGGAGTGCTGTCTTGGGGGACGGGGTCCCAGTTTCCTGGAGGAGAGAGGACACTACTCTGCTCCAGGGGACAGATAGGATAGGCTGAGGGGCTGGGCCAGGCGTGGCTCCTCTGCCAGCCTGCCCTCATGGTCCAGCCCCGAGCTTGCACAACAGCCTGGCTGGCTGGCTGGCACTCCCCTGGGAGCCTCAGGAAGTCCCCCTTGTTCCCCCCTTGACCTTTGACCCCTTGGGCCTGCTGCAGGCCAGAATTCCAGGCAGCTGTCCTCTCTTTTACCTTCTGTTCCTGGCCATTTCCCTTTAAGGCTGGAACTCAGAGATACCCCAAACCCCCACCTTACAGC